TGCGCGGGCTTCATTCGGGTGTGGGCCGCCACGGGTATTTCCCCCCCCTGCGAAGCCCCGCCGGTTCCTCCCATCTAAACGGGAGTACCCATTTATCTACTCGCAGATGGAATAGCTTTCGAATTGCTGGGTGAGCAAGGAGCTAGGACAAGGGACAGGAGCTCACCCTGTCCCGCGGGGCAGGGCTCGAACCACTGGAGAGCCAATCATTCTGATCGGCAACTCCCGCGTCATTAAGCCCTTGCGCCACCGCATCCAAATCTTTAAGTTTGAAAGAAAACTATGGAACAGTATTTTTGTTACAATATGTTCTGAGCTTTGGATACTTGGAACAGACATAAGCCTCAGAAGGAAGTTTTACACATTATTCTGTATCATTTCATTTAAAGTGGAATTTCTAAAATCAGCTGAATTACTGACAAAATGGCTCATTTAAAACATATATTACTAGGCCTAACTAATTGTACAATAAACTATTGCACAGAAATGTGTTGAGATTTAAGGATAAACTTCTCTGGTTCCCTAACCACATTCTTTGCAGCATAAATGTTCTTGTAATATAGAATTGATAGAAGTTCTTTTCAACATAATATTTTGTCTTGATATAGTAATGCTGCTGTATTTGACTTATATAAGAAATCTTAGATGCACTGAGAATAAGGATGCATTTTATTTAGCAGTTAGTTTCCAAATGTGCTGGCCACCAGATAAAATATATTCAGCTGGTATTACCACCAAGATCACACACTGGTGATGTAAGTTTCAGGTGTTTCGGGATTGTCACAAAATTGTTCTGACATAATTCCTAACTGTGCTAGATGTCATCTTGAATGTCTCTCAAGAGATTAATTTTTCTGCTTTTGTTAATTCCATGGGACCCTGAATATATGAAATGCAACTATTTGCTGTCTATAAGAAAAAAAAGTAACTTTGAAATAGAAATAAATAAGCATTCCAGAAATTAATGGTTGGAAAACAAAACCCCAAAATTCGGTATTGCAGTGTATTTTCAGAGAGTGTGAAGTTACAGAACTGTGATATATTTGAGAGTAAATTTAGATAAACCGAGTTACCTCTGGCATTCATTATATTTATATTCTGCTGCAAGCAATTTGATTCTCAGCAGCTGTTCAATTTTCCTTCAGTCCTGGGTGATATATAATGAAGAAGGAAAAAGAAGCCCCCTCTCCCCTTCTAAGCATGGAAGGAAAGGGCTGATGGAGAAGCAGATAAATCGGTGCCTGCTCTAGCAGTTCTCTTTTTTCTTTCCTGCTGGTCTGAGGGAAAGCAATGCGTCTTTTTCATACTCTGTGTGGGAAAGAAGTTGATTCAGAGTAAATAGGTAAATGAAGAAGGGGGAGTATGGATGGGGTGAAAAGCAGATGTGTGATACTGTGAGTGGAGAGATGAATAAGAGGAGAGTGGGCATTGCTATGTGTGCAGGAGGGAAGAGGAGAATCAAGGTTGAGGTTGAGGCTAGATAACCCTATCCCTAATATTGCTGGCAATTGTTTGTGTATGTGTGTATGCACCATACTGAGGGTGAAGGAATGTGAACAAGGGAAAGAGCAAAGTTATGTTCCCACTTTCTCTTGACTTTGACCCTCTCCACGACTATGTGGGCTGTAACTATTTTCCCTGAGAGAATGTGGCCCTGAATCTAAAAAGGTTGCCCAAATTGTGTGATAAACTATAGTATGTATGCCTTAAACACAAAGGGTCTAGATAACTAGATGAATGGGCAATATGGGTTGGTAAAAACTTTATTAAAAGTAATTTAACATTTGTACAATTATGGACCCATCAATTCTTGGCAAATAGAAGGGGTAGAAATGGAAGCAGTAACAGACTTCATTTATTTGGGCTCCAAGATCACT